AGATGTGAGGAAAACTGGACTTTTCTAGTTCTAGTGTTCAAAAAGCAAATTTTTTTTTTTTTTAAAGCATAAATACAGATACTGTGAAATGTTACTCTAAAATGAATATAATGCGGTCTTGATGTTCTTTTTAAGAAGGTTGAAATCGGGATGTGTGAATTTAGAACAGTAAGCTTTTAAAGTGGGCATGACGCTTTTTTTTTTTTAGCTGAATACTTCAAAAGCCATCAAAATAGCTGTTACCTTCTGTCCTGGAAATTGTCAAGAACCTATAAATAAACATAAAATAATACAAGAGCAGGAAAAAAGTGCTATGCCAGCAGTTAATGTTGTTGTTATTAATGCTGTTGTTTGTTTGTTTGTTTTTCTTGCAGTGTATCCTATTCGGTGCATGTCTCTGAGGATTACCCAGGTACAGTGCAACATTCTTGTCCATGACATGTGTGTGCATGTTGCTTCAATTTCTTATATTTAGATGAGAATATCTTAAAGCGTGTTGATGTCTTCAGATGCGTCCTTGTGCTAATCGTTTTCCACTAGTGAGATTATTTCCACAGTCATTTCTCCTTTTCAGGCGTCATTTATCAGCAGGGTCAGGGTGAGAAAACCTGGTTGACAAGTTTACAGAGACCGGAGCTTGTGATGCGTTCGGTGTCCGGAGCCAACAGTGATAGGAGTGAGAAAGCGCCGAGCTCCTCTTTGGCGTGGCAGATAAAGCTTGATCTTTCGAGAGGCAGAGCAGTCTGGCATGGGGCCAGCAAAGCACTTCTGCATTAGATCTTAATGAGACTACTCACATTCTTCCAGTTAAGCCTGTGGACTGTGTGCTGATGTTTCTGAGGGTTGGTTGGAGCCAAGGGTTTGTGTACGGGTATGTCTTTGGTAACATAAGCTCGCAAAGCTGCTCCCAGCTGCTCGGTCCTGCCTGCTTTTCATAGCCTGAGCTGGGTTGGCAAAGCGTTTGTGTAACCGTACGGCCGATCTAGACAAGGGGAACCATCTAGACCAATCTAGAGGAGGCAGGAGCAAAAGCTAGTTTTCAGCTAGCTTATTTCCCTGATTTCCTTCATAAAGGGACTGCACAGATTCTTCAGGTGACACAGAGGTCAGCAGAAGCAGCAGAGGGAAGCAGATATGAGGGCAGGCAGGTGCTGTGCAAGTGGAGGTACGTGGTGGTGCTGTTGGATTGCATCACATTGTGCATTTTGCACCTGGGATTGTTTAGTAGTGTAAGTACCATGAATGATACAAAACCCTCTGGCCTTTTTTGGTCTTTATCCCTAACATCTCTGTAATATTTCTAAAAGGAGTATTTCTTGTTTCTTTTAGAATCTCTAAAGAAGTGAGGCTTTGATCTTCTTCACTGATAAGTAGACTATGTCTGTTCAAAACACCAGAGTGTTTGAAGGAGACAGAGAGAGAAATCAGCATCAGCAGTGATGCTAAATAAAATGGATTATGTGAAAGAATGTTAACAACCTTTATGAGAGACATTATTTTTACTGGTGAAACTAGAGGGAAAACTGATATTAATAATAATCTATTCAACATGTGGTAAGGGATGAAACTGAGATTCATAAAATGTGCAGTCATACCATTAATAAATTAATTACTGATTACTCCATTGGCCTGACAATGATCGGGGGGACAAACAGTTGAAAAAAATCTGCATCGTATGTTATTAACAATTTGCTTTATTAAACATGACAGAACTTGATCTCTGGGAATCCTTAACTAAATGGCAATTGGAAGCTCTGAATGAGCAGTTACTCTCACAGCACATGAGATCTCATCTCCTGGCAAACTCTTCTGTCTGACGGACCTCAGACTTCCCTTAAAAATGTTATCTGCAATATGCCCTGATGGCCTACAAGCCTGAGTGACTTTGGTGGACTCTGAAATCTAGTGAATATTCCTGCCATCATCTCCTATATTTTAAAGCTAGATAGAATTTGAACATTTGAACATCTTACACTGTAGCTAACTTGGGGCAGAGAGGATAAACCAGCTGCACTTGTTTACTGATTAAAGTCTAAGCCTTCAAGGCTCTGGAAGACCTGATTTCATTCATAGCTCAAGCTTCTGCAGGATGTATGTTTGCTTTGTGATGAAGAGGTGTTCAGTATGTTAGGAATGATAATGGCTTTCTGACATTTTACAGCTTTGATTCTAAAAATACTCGTTTTGATGTGGTGAAACAGATTCTTTGTCTCCTCTCTTTTTCCTAAATGTCTAACTTAACATGACTGCTGACTGTGACTCTCTCCTCTGGCATGTGTTTTAAGGGATGTGTCAGGGATGTGTCAGGGTGTGGTGGTGTCAAGTCTGGGAAGCTCTGTGCTGATGTCCTTCCTACTCAACTGGAAGGTGATCTTCAAGAATTGCTGCTAGTTGATAAGAATTCACAGCAGCACATGCTCTTCAAATCAAATTTCTCACAGGATAAATCTTTACAGATCATAGTTTAAGTCCATTAGTGTGTAGTTATACCAAAGCTGTATCCTCTGGAGGTTAAGAGTGTGTAATACATAGTGGATCCAGTCTGGAAATCCAGGAGAAGGCTGTCAGAGTTGATCATCAGATAAATTGCTAATGCATGCAATAACTATATGAAAATAGAAGAGATGAAGTTACTATACAAATGATGTTCATTCAGCCAAAAGTGATACCACCACAAGTAAATTTTAGGTACTGTATGAAGAGCTCTGGGTAATGCATATACTGTAGCTGCCTGAATTGCTGTTGTGTATGGAACGTCACCACTTTGGCAGTGATAGCAGCATGTAGCTATCACTCAATTGCTTCATAAAGCATCAAAAGATTACAAACAGCTGAGCGTTCAGTCATACCTATGGGAACTGTAATATGACATGACAACTTTCAATAATGGAAGGTGCTTGAAAGTTTCATAATTATGAGTGAAAGCTAGGAGTATGCTCACAAAGGCACAATGAAGAACTTAACAGGAATAGTGTTGAGACAGTAATGTCTCGAAGTTATATATACATCGCTGAAATTGTGAAAATATCACTGAAAATTTTAGAGGCAGGTAATAACAGTTCCAGCAAAATGTCTCTGTAACCATTTTCTCATAACGTTGACACAACTGGGGAAAATAGTGCTCCTGAGGAGCAGTTACAGACTATAACATCAATGAGTAGACTAAAGTCCCATTAATATGAGTGGATCATGACTCCAGTGAGAACCATTACAGCAGCAAGCATTTTGCTAATGAATGTATGTTCAGAGTGATACATGTTGGCTGCCATAAACTTGTAGACCTGCTGCAGTCTTTTATCCCAGTGATTTGTGAGTTACACATGTGTTAACAGAAACATCCTTTCCTTAGACCGCATCAAATTGCAGCAGAAATGGAGAAAACTAGTTTGGCAGCGAGTGGTTTGCTGCATCCCTCCACTAGGTCCAGGCACAAAGTCCTCTGCTTAAGAGAAGTGTTCCTGAGTGTAGTGTGTTAGAAACTGGATGTTGCAGAAAGCAAACCAAAACTAGTATCTTTATAGAATCATAGAATCATAGAATGGTTGGGGTTGGAAGGGCCCTCGTAGATCATCTAGTCCCACCCCTCCTGCCATGGGCAGGGAAACCCTCCACTACACCAGGTTGCCCAAAGCCTCATCCAACCTGGCCTTGAACATTTCCAGGAATGGGGCATCTACAACTTCTCTGGGCAACCTGTTCAGTGCCTCACTACCCTCAAAGACAAAAATTTCTTTCTTACATCCAATCTAAATCTGCCCTCTTTCAGTTTAAAGCCATTGCCTCTTGTCTTATCACTATGTGCCCTTGTAAAAAGTCCCTCTCCAGCTTTCCTGTAGGCCCCCTTTAAGTACTGGAAGGCTGCAATAAGATCACCCCGGAGCCTTCTCTTCTCCAGGCTGAACGGCCCCAACTCTCTCAGCTTGTCTTCACAGGAGAAGTGGTCCAGCCCTTGGATCATCTTCATGGCCCTTCTCTGGACTTGCTCCAGTAGCTCCATGTCCTTGTTGTGCTGGGGACTCCAGAGCTGAATGCAGTATTCCAGGTGGGGTCTCATGAGAGCAGAGTAGATGGGCAGAATCACCTCCCTTAACCTGCTGGCCACACTTCTTTGGATGCAGCCCAGGATATGGTTGGCTTTCTGGGCTGCCAGCGCACATTGCCGGCTCATGTTGAGCTTCTCATCCACCAGCACTTCCAAATTCTTTTCCTCAGGGCTGCTCTCAATCCATTCTCTGCCCAGCCTGTACTTGTGCTTGGGATTGCCCCGACCCATGTGCAGGACCTTGCACTTGGTCTTGTTGAACTTCATGATGTTCTCACAGGCCCACCTCTCCAGCCTGTCAAGGTCGCTCTGGATGGCATCCCTTCCCTCCAGCGTGTCCACAACACCACACAGCTTGGTGGCATCTGCAAACTTGCTGAGGGTGCACTCGATCCCACTGTCCATGTCTCCAACAAAGATATTAAATAGCACTGGCCCAGTACTGACTCCTGAGGAACACCACTCGTCACTGGCCTCCAGCTGGACATTGAACTGTTGACCACAACACTTTGAGTGCAACCATCCATCTAGTTCCTTATCCACCAAGTGGTCCATTCATCAAATCCATGTCTCTCCAGTTTAGAGAGAAGGATGTCATGTGGGACAGTATCAAATGCTTTGGATAAATCTAAGTCGACGATGTCAGTTGCTCTTCCCCTATTTCAAGTTTCATTAGACTGATGGAAGGAAAGAAGAAAAGACTAATGGCAGCCAAATAGAAAAGGAAAGCAAAAACTTGGCAGTGAAGATCATATTATCCAGCTGCCAGGGAAGAATGACAATAGACATAAAAATATAATTAAAATCTATAAAATCTGTAATTGAGCAGTCTTTTTTTCCATACATGTATATTTTGGTAGTTGTCTATTCTGTACAGCACATAGGGTTGTTTTTCCTACTTTTTCGTACAGCAGTAAGTTATAGCACATGGATTTCCTTTCTCTCAGCCGTGTATACGATGTTATATTTAAAGCCAAATGGTGGCCCCTGTTGTTCCAGCTCATTAGATTCTGTACCAGTGAGTTACCCTCCTAAACCTGGGAAAGGAACGGGCCTGTGTTGTACATGTGGAGAGCCATCCAGCATGGTGAGACTGACACTGAAGGACAGAGAGATGGAGCGTGCAAATAGAAGCAACAGAGGAGTTCGTGGAGGGGATGAGATGCAGCTGTGCTGGAGACGGAGTTCACAGCCTGTCCTGCCGGCAGACGGAAGTGGGAGGAGTGACTGGTGACAGAAGGCTGACAGGTCCCCGTTCTGTTCGCATGATGCTGTGGCTCTAAAACACATCCCTGTGCCAAGTGGGAGGCTGAGCAGATGCTGGCTGAGCTGATGGAGCAGGTTGCTGTTCCCACTGGAGCACAGCGCTAGGGGAACAGCTGCGTTGGCCACCTGCAGCAATCGCCTGCACGGATATGTGCACGTGGCGCAGAGCGCAGATCACTGGGATCACCTCGTGGGACAGCGCAGGAGTGGAAGCAAGTGGAGGTGTGAGGTAGCGTCAGACTGGGTAGATAGATGAGTGTGACCGTGGCAGAAGGGCTGTTTCTTTTAACATCTTTACCATTTTACTGGAAACACTGTGGTCAAAGGCTTTGAGGTTGCAGCGGTATGCTTGAAATTACGTGAGTTCACACGCTTCACTGATGTGGTACCGGAGTGTTCGGAATTATGACAGATCAGGTCCTTGTTTCAGTTCCCTTATTTGTCTCTTTATCTGTGATTATCTTAATTGTCAGCCTTTCTGTTCTAGAGCGTAAGTTTCAATTCAGCCCAGATCAGTGGAAAACAAAATATTATTACTTTCATAGGCAATTCATGCAAAATTAAGTTCTGCAACAAAATTTGCTGCTACTTGTTTGTTGTTACTAAATGTTTGGTTGGAAAGCAAAAAAAGAAACCAAACCAAAAAACCAGCACACCCCTCCCTCAACATTATCCCCACGTTTTGTGAGAAAATTTGGGACAAGATTTCCATATTCATATCCATACATAACATTTTTGTTAAGTGGGAGGAATTTTTTTTTTTCTCCTGAATCAGGCACAAGAAAGGTTATCCACTGATTAGAAGATACTTCAAACAATCTTTTTGTGACTAGGCGAAATAAGGCACAGGTATTTTGCATAAAGGGCGTTAAGACCAGCTCTGGATGCAGCCTTCACTCTGCACAGCAGATCTAGCCTGAGTTTTAGTGTTAGGCATAGCAAAAAGCATAGAACAAATCTTCGTTTTGGAAAAGGTTGGCTCAAACCTCCATAAGCCTTGTGGGATCGTTCAGAGCAGTGCTTGGTGTGATTCACGAAAGCCATGACATCAGACTCCAGGGGTTGGTTTGTTAAAATTTGGGTCCGAATCCTTCATCCTTTTGGTATTTTTCTTTTCGTTAGCAATCTCAAGAGAAAAAAAAAAACACGGAAGGAAGATGATAGTGCTCAGCTTCCCTAACGATGTGGGCAGTGGTTCCTTATGGTGTAAGGGTGGGATGGGCAACGTGGGGAGGGGCTGGCAGAGCACAACTGGGCTTCACCATGCGAGGTGTTTTTCTTTCATAGATAACACTTATGTTTCCAGTTCTGATAACGATGAAGATGTGTTAGTTACAACAGAGCCAATTCCAGTAATTTTCCACCAAATTGCTACAGGTAATCTTACGTCTCAAGTGTTTTATCAAGTTCCTATTTTGTGAGGAAAGAAGATATTGCCTGTACTTAAAGGGAGATATGTTCATGTGTGCAGCTCCAGAGTTTGCTATTTTCTCACAGTGTTGCTGTAGTAAATTGCCCTCCGTTTCAGAATAGAAGAAATTAAAATATTTCTTTTGGTGTTCACCATGATTGTGTAGGCAGAATATATTTTGTTCTTTTAATGCCTTGCAGTCTGTGCTAAAGCAATTCTCCTTCCATACAGTTAGAGGTGCTTAATACTTCCCAATTATAACTTTTCATACTCCCTTAAAACTTCACTAAATCTTCACCATTGGGGATTAAACAGTCTATAACTATCATTGCCTCTTGTGAGTTATTTCAGGAAATTTCAAAAAAATGGTTCATCTGTTTCACTAAATTGGACTATAGAAAAAAATATTTTTTTTTTCCCAGTGATTTTGGGAACTTCTCATTTGAAATTATTTCCATACCTTCAAAAAGTATTTGATAAATGCAGAGATACACTTTTCAGACATATGGGCACATATATTACAATATATAATCAAGATTTGCACATACTCCGTAGAGACTTTTTAGATTTTAGCAGCCAAATTCCCTGATGATTTCAGGCTGCAGGAGAAACTGCATAGAGCAGTCTTAATTCTGGCAGTTCTTCAGATAGGAACACTTGACTTTGCAGTCTTTTTATTATTACAATGCTTTAGGGCTTTTTTTGCGTAACACAGAATTACTTTGAATTCCACTAGAAAACCAAATATGATCATCAGTCTCTGATCTCATTTATACTGATGTAAATCAAGAATAGTTTTACTGAAGTCAGTGCAGTGGCATCCAAACAACAAGCAGCTGTTACAGTCAGAAGTTTAAGATCAATTTTGCTTGCAAATATTTCTGTAATTTAAAAAGAAATAAAGCCTATCATTTAAAATAGGATAAAGACCTGTGTTTTGTATAGAAGATGATCTGATTTAATTTTGCTGAGCAGTTTTGATTTTTCATTCTTTTATAAAGTACAAAATTCATGAGTGACACTAAATTGTAAACCACAGGTTGAGAAAAACGAATCTCCTAGATGGACTAGCTGAATTGTGTTTCATCGTTAAAAGTATGAGTCTTCTGAGGCATAGGGGCATCTTAATTTTAGGCTGTTGTATTGTAAACTCTTCAATTCTTTTCGTACCTGTAACTTTTTCTTCTATATTTAGTCTGCTACTGCAACTAAGTATTTCAATTCTGCATATGCCAAACTATTTCACATTTTTCACAAATGTTCCCTTTTCTTTTAAGAATTAAGAAAAACCAGTGATGTCAACTATTGCTTATCCATTAAATCAAAATTACAGAGGGAGAATGGAGAGGTACGTATTTCTTATATGCATGTTTTAACAGAAGTTATTTTAAGAAACAACAGAAAATAATAAAATATGAACGTTTACCACAGGTTTCTTATCAAATGTGTGCTTATGGAAACTGTACATGTTTACACATTTTAGAAGATGAGTGTATTTCTCTGGGTTTCATACATGGATTAACCAGTGCATAACTTAGTTGAGATAGGGATACTACCATCCTAGGAAACACGGGTTTGACATTTATTACGTTTTTTTGTTCAATGATGGTGTAGACCCTGTCTGCCCTAAAAGTACAGCTCTCCTGGAGAAGTAGGTCATGATGCCATTACCTTTTAACCCACTCTTGCACGTAGGACCACATCCCATTTATTAGTTCACTGTTCTACATGTGGCCTACAGCAGCCCCATCGGAGGCTGTAGACCTGTACATGACTGTTCACCGTAAGTAGTCTGGAGTGTTACGACCCTCCAGTCACAGTTGTATTTGTGCTGTACCTCTGGCATGGGTCCCTGACCAGTCTTACTGAGACCTTAACTCAAGAAAGAAGTGGTACTGATGTGAAGTCTGCAGGGCTTGGCACTGTTACGTGCTCAAAGAAAGCACCATAAAGGTGCCTATCTCAAGCAAGAAATTGAGCATTATACCAAGAATTCAGGTGCCTGACCTAAAGACTTCCTTTGGTAGAGGTGATTGCTGAGTTTCCTGATAGCTGCTGTTTAGGCTTCGATCTGTATTTGACCCTGAAAAGGAGATATAAGCATGCCTAGATGTGCTAATGTGTATGGTTGGTTTTTCAAGTAGATGAAACCTGATCTGATGTAAAAAGCTGCACTGGAAATACTTTGCTTCTGCTGCCTTGTTGTATTCAGCGCTTGGTAAACATTAGAAGAATTCAAGTGCAGGAAGAATTTACCTGTTTGATTAAAAGCCTGAGATATAGTTAGCTTGTGTGGGACAGTGTGTGAGCTTTTATTTTGTTTTCGTTTGAATGAGGCACTTAAATATGAAAGTACTGAAAAAAAAACACCTTTAAAAACGAATCTCTAACATTGACCATTTCTGTTGGCTAGACAGTTTCATATTTTAGTTAGGATAGGATAGATTTGTTACTATTGTAATGTGAAAAGTTTCATTTCTTTTCGGTTTGTGTTGAGTTTTTGTTCAGTTGAGTTCTGTTTTCTTCTGTTCATAGACTTCCAGTTGAGCTAGGGTTATTATAAACCAAAGAAGACTAAAGTCACTTTGTTTCTTTTCAGTGAAGTAGAAGCAGAAATTATTTTTATGCCTTGTCATAGAAAATTGCCATGAAATTTGGCTGAAACACAATTTTTGCTCTAAGTGTACATACAGTGAATAGAGCAGGGATTTAGAGGCAAAGGTAGAGAAATGAGATTAGAATGTCTGACCATAGAAATTGATGATAAGGGTATATTTGACATTTATAAATATATGGGATTTAGGGGTAACTTCTATTCTTTCATTCATACATCTGATTTCTATTCCATTATGGCAGTTCTGTGCAGCATATAGATACAAAATAAGCAGTAAGTACATCATGTTCAGGTTGAAGTGAAGAATCATGATTTTAATGGGTGTTCTTTAGGGGATTCTTGTCAGCACAGGGCTACAAAATGACATATGGATTGTGGGAAACAAGAATTAATATCTTCAAGCAATTACATAATTATAGGTAAAGGTTCCATTGGTGGGAAGCAGAATATAACACCAGCTCATGCTGAGTTGCAGTCTGTACCAGGATCAGTTCTATTTTCTTGAGTGCAGTTATTCACAGAGCAGCCTCTTTAAAGCAGGTTTTACTTGGGTAAGCATATTACTTTCTAATCCTTAATTTTCAAAGTCTCAGAACAGAGCTAGTCAGAAAATTAAGTTTGAACTTTTCTGGCAACAGGCTGGTACGTCTGTTAAAAATAATAATTAAGCATCAATGTGTCAGTTTTTCACAGAAGGGAACTTACAAGATCCCATACTCAGACTTGAATTTTTTCCTTAAACTATTACAATTGATTTACCAGAATAAAGTGAATTAAAATTTTATTACATTACTGAAACACCAAATTATTTAAGTCCAGAACCTATCTTGGTGGGTAAATTATGCTTTGTTTCACAAAAGCACAGAACGAAGTATCTCCACGTAGTCTATTGAGTTCCCCAGTTAGTTAAAATACCACACTGTATAGCCAAAGTATTATTTCTCCAACATATATTCAGGGTGGGGTTTTTTGTCTGATAGTTCCCCATTCTTAAAGCAGTCCTTTAGTACTCTTCTGGAAAAATGACACTAAAAGATCTCCTAATAAAGGATGCTATAAGCTTATTTTTAAAAACATAATTCCTCTAGTTGTAATTAGAACTATACTTGCAAGATAAGCACGTCACTTGTATCATTGTTAACTTTTCTCTTACATTAAGGAGTCACGGCACAACAGCACAGTTGAAGAAGATTCTGAAGGAGATAATGATTCTGAGGAATTTTATTATGGAGGGCAGGTAATGGAGCCAATTTTTGCACAAGTTTCAAGAAATCAGTATTTGGAAGCTTCTGTTGTTTATTCCATTATAAATTTATGATAATAATTAATTTCTTACTTTTATTCAACTTAAAAGAGAATGCCATGTGTATATATACGTGGTATTTTATAGCAGAAATACTGAATATGTTGTACTGTATAATTGTATCAAATTTAAAATAAGATTAGTTTGTTTACATTTGCTAATCTGTAAGAATAGGAAAAGCAAGTATGCTTCAGAACATTTGAAAATAGAAGCCAGTCACTTACTTCCAGGAAACAGATATTCAGTCTTTAAAGCTTATCCCGTTACTGATACAAATGAGAAGTCAGACTGGACCCAAATCTGTTTCCTTCTGGAGGATTGCCATTTTGTAAAGTAAAGAGCACTGCAATTTAATGGTAAAAATGTTATTACAAAACAATTTTGATCTAGGCAATAGTCCGTTCTTTTTCTGAGCTCTACAGTTAAATTCACCTTGAAAAATGCTGCATTTTTTTGGATGAATATACTGCTCTGTGTCTTCCTTGTTCCCTCAGCGGAATTAGTAGTTATTACATTATCTTACGTATTGGGAAGTAAAATCTCTTCATCTCTTTTCCTTTTGCAATGTCAGTATAGCACTTCACACTACTAGTCTCTTTATTCAGATTTTTCTTATATTTTTAGTCTAACTATTGCCCCAAAGGAATCATTTCTCACTTATGTTGTTAGAACTGTTTATTTTGATGAACATTTTAACGCATTACGGTTGCTGTTTGTGGGAGCTGTTACTGCCTCAGCCTTGAGGCTGAAGCCATCCGTGCCCTGGGTGCGCAGAGCCGAGGCTGCAGGAGCGTGCCAGCAGCGCCAGCCGGTTGGGTCGCTGCGGAGAGCGTGGGATGCTGATGAGCAGGACATCGCTGAGCCTCTTCTCTTGCAGAGCCAGCACCGTGGTGGGGTTTGAACACAAAAAATAGATGTTGAGATGCTTTACTCTGAAAATAAAAGGCATGCCCCTGAAAAGCTGTGAAAAATGATATTGAAACTCAAACTGAAAGAATGTATTTTCAGTGTCAGAAATAACTGACATGGGGTATTCACTCACGTTTGCTGTAAAAATGGGTGCAGGAATTGCCTCCCTTCAGCTGCCGATTCGTACAGCCCCACGGAGCACTGGGGAGGACCATGTATACATACTTCAGTGCAAAGAGCGATGTCTCATTTTAATTCACCTGAAAGGAAAAATCTGGTTTTGCCCTGTAGTGATGAGTTGTGTGTACTGGCTCCATTTTTCAACTCTGCAGAAAGGGCAGTAACCTCAAGGTGAAGGAAAAGGCATCAAACAGCTGGGAGTGCTTATTTCTTGAACAAGCACTAATATGTTTGGTAAAGGATGCCTGCCAGTGCCCAAATGAATGAATAAATATTAATGCTACCTATGAGATATGAACACAGAGAGCAGTACATCATTTTGCAAGGTGTAAAAGAGCTGTGTAATAGGCAATACTGGTTAGAATTTAGTTGCCTTATATTTGAAGTGGAAACTACATTATATTGCATTCTTTTTTTTTTTTTTTAGTGTAATACATTTAATTGAAGGAATTATAACTGGCAAAAAAAATACAATTAGATCAGCAATAAAATAAAATATCAGATGATTGTGAATGTCTTGAGTATAGAATAATCAAAAAGCAAAATGAGGAGAACAAACAAAGACATCATAGAAAGTGTATTTTACAAGAGAGAAAAAAGGAAATTTTGAATTTAAAATTTCATGGTCAAAAAGACAAAATTCTAAAGATCACTTGTAGAATTAAATAAAATACTGAGGAGTCAGAACAGAAATAGGAAATCAGATAATGAGCAAAGTCCCTCAAGAGATTAAAAGAAAGTCCTTTTTCAAATAAAATGATTGTCAGAGTAATTAAGTGAGCACCAGGTGTATTAGGAAGACAAAATAGTTGACTCTGTATGTGGGGGATGAGCAAGGCAAGCTGCTCCATTTGAGAAAAGTGTGTGCTGTGCCCACAGAGAAAGGGGACGAAAATATTGACTTTAGCAGCTAGAGGGAATAGATGCCAGCATAATTGTGTGCAATACAGTTGGAAAAGGTGAAGGTCATGGATAACTCAACATTTCTAAGTGGTTACAGCTGGAAAGACAAGAGAGCAGCTGGTGATGAAACAAGGACCATGGAAGATGGGAAATGGCATTTGATGGGCAGTGAAAACAAGATATGAACTTTTGGTCATAAATTAAATGTTTGTATCTGCTTCCTAGGCACCTGCTTGTAATCCTCCCTGAGGATTTAATGGATAAATACTTTAAAGTAGCTAAGTGATTCAATAGCCTAAGTCCTATTGATTTTCAATGGTATTTAGGTTTGTAAATCACTTAATCTCCTTTAAAAATGCAACCTTTTGTCATTTAGTGGGACAAAATAATCTGAATGGGGTCTCAGATTAAAAACTGAGACTTTCTAAACACAGACCCTTCAGACACAGCAAAGTTATCAGATTTTTTAGCTTTTATATTCACTTTCTCTGAGACTCTTTGTTAATTCCTGCTTTGAATGTTTATCTTCTACATTTGCAAATGAGAATAGGAGATTGAAACAGCAACACTACTGCCTTTGGCTCTCTTTTCTCGCTCTCTCTGGTGCTTCAGTTACATGACATACTTGCAAATGCAGATATTCAAAACTCTGGCAGTCTCCTCTGCGTACATCAGCATGTCTGTGGCACTAATTCAGGGATGGAAAATACCATATTGTGGTCTTACGATTTGCCAGAACACCGCTTTGTTTCCTTTTTGAGTTCATAACCTCTTACGATCAGAAAATAAATTGAAGAAAGCATTATGTTGAGCTGCTCAGCGTTCTGCGTAGTGTTCCTTTTGGATTTTACTATTGCTGATACATAAGACGGATTAAAAAAACATGGTTTAGGACCAACAAAGGTGGTGGGTGCACCACAGCTACGATTTGTGAAATGGTTACTGTGCTCTCTTTGGAAGCAGGACAGCAATTATTTATGCATCTTTAAAGAATTTATCTTTGAGTATGAGCATGTAAAAAGGATTGGTTTTCTCCTAGCTAAAGTGAAAAAAAAAAATCATAATAAAGGTTTTCTTCCCATGCTCTTTTACTTGGAAAATTGTTCTGACATGCCTACCCAAACAAGGGAGAAATACTTGGTTTTTACCCTTCTGGTCATGAATATCATTGATATCTGTGATAAACACGTGCACATACTATGCTGATGAGTTCTGTGCCTTATATTTGAAGAATTCTGAGTCTAATCAAATTATTCTTTGCTCATTTTCCCATATAAAAAGTGATCAGCTGATTATTTTAATTATATTGAAATTTAATTAGATCGAAAAGTGCATCTGCAGATAACAGAGCTGAAAGTGTCTGTCTAAAGGGATAAATTACACCCTTGTACTTTGCTCTCTGAATTTGTCAAAGGTACAAGCCAAATCCGACTCTCATTTCTGAATCTGTCCAAATCTAGGGAGTTGATTGACTTCTGTGGAATTACAGTCATTCTGATTGTGAAGAAGTAGAATTAGGTTCACACAATCAGGAGCATATTGCTTAGCAAGAAAGTACGAATAGGCTGTGAATGGATTGTTACAAGCCTAAAAAAGTATTTTGGTCCTTGTAGAAGATAGGAGGGTATTAATTATTTAGGCTTCATACAGTCCAACCAACTGAACTAGTTGACAAGTTTTGCTTTATAGTGTAAGCACTAACATAAATGTTTCCATTTTTCATGTAGAGTTTGAAAAAAATGGAGATGATGTCTAAATACAAGTTTCTTTACACCTTCTCTGATAAAATACTTAAAATGGGAAAGTAATTTTGGTTTTTTTGTCTCATATCTTTTCACTGGTGGATAAAATACAGCCAATGGGTAGACTGAAAATGTAATTTAGATGCGGAAAGACTTAGTATATAGAGTAGTTTCATGCTTCTTTTGTTAAGCCCAAGTCATTCTGTGTCTAATATATATGAGAGTGTGACAACAAGCAAGAGGGACCAAATCTTTGATCTGTCATGGTTGTACTGGAATATGACTGGGGAAATCTGGTTCTTTTCCTGCTTAACAGTTTTAAAATGCACAAGTGTCCCAGAAGAAACCCCAGGACAAAACAGGACAGAAGGATGAGTCCCTTGCAGCTTCTCTTCCCACTAACAGAAGTGGGACCCTCAAAAAATTTTGATGCAGACATGCCTGCTTTGCATATCTCATCGCTTAGCAGAGCTAGACCACTTCAATGCTTCAGCTTATCAACACAGTGTCCTTTCTGAGCACGGTATTAAGGAATCTTTATGCAGCATATTTTGCAGGGGTAACTTTCAAGTGCCCAGGTCAGGTGCCAGTAATGAAATAAGAACTCCTAGGATATTTTTTTTTTCCCAATAGGTTAGCTATGATGGAGAACTTCACAAGCACCCACAGTTGGAGGCTGATTTGATAGCAGTGAGAGAGATCTATGGACCTAATGCAGTATCTCTCAGGTATGTCATTGACTTTTCCATATTGTGAAACCTTTGGTGTTTTGGAGATTGAGTTCCATGTGGACCTTCACTCACTGCCAAACCACAGGTGTCTTCTGGTGATTTCTGCATGTTTTGTGGCAAAAGGAAGGAGCACTGCTGGCTGGCAATAGCCAGCAGATTTTGTTTTTTCTTTTTTTTTGGTGGTTGAGTACTGATACAACTGGCTGTGCTGAGAACAAGCCCTGGAAGCCTGTTCTGAAACATCATTGTATTTTGCAGTTCAATTGGTATTTGATCCAACTGTTGTATTTTGTTGAAAATTACTATTCAGCATTACTCTAAACTCTTGTTAAACTCCTTTTCTGTCTTTTGCCCTGGAGGTGAACAAGACGAAAGAAAAGAGATTTAGTAAATGTTTTCCCTAGGGAAAGCCTGAAGGAATTGGGTTTATCTAGTCTGGAGAAAAGAGAAGAAGACATAATAATGGTTGTTGTTCTTCAAAAAAGCTGTTTGTAGATAGGAAAAGTGATCAAATGTTCTCTATTGCCATCATGAGAGAGACAATAAGCAACTAGTTGTGTTAGCAACAAACAAGAATTTGATTAGATTTTAGGAAAGCATTTGAATTGTGGGAATCTAAAGTATTCTATACAGGGAAGTTGTGGAAGCTCAATCAAGAGGTGGATTGCAAAGTGAAATTACACAAAAATTCCGTTAGGCGTGTGTGAGTGTGCATGATTCTGCCATAGGGCATAGCTGTATGATATTTTTAATACACTTCAGGCCTTTTATAACTTCACTTTCCATCTATGCAATCTTAATAATTTCAAAAAAATAACAGGTAGGCAAGATGTAACAGACCTGTCTGATGTATTACAAAGAAAATACCAAACTTGTCATACAAACAAGTAATAAAATATAGTTAAGATAATAACCTTAGGCGTACATATATTGCAAGTAACAATTGCCATTAATCTCTAAACAATAAACTCTGTTATTTTGGTCTAAGGAGAGCCTGTGGTGTACTATACCTTTTCAAATTAAGTCGAAATTTCATTGCATTTCAAGGACCTGGGGAATTGAAATCTGAATAGTTGTATATGGGTTTAGGAAATGAATGAGATAAATATTCAGTTGCCAAACTGATAACTATGAAATTGAGAATACCTTGATAACAGGCTCTCTCAAGTTCCTAAAATTGAAACATTTTATGTAACCGTTCAAAAACTTTAATGCACCTAATTTATTGAATGTACTGTTTCATTGGAAGCTTTGTGATCTCCTTGAGCTCACTGTAGTATAAATTGGCATCTGTAGCCGCTTTTGGCATGTGGAAGACTTTAATGCTTCTTCCACTCTATTGCAGCAGAATATATGCATAAGATCTTGGGAATGACAAACAGCATTATGCATTCAGTTTCATCCCTCTCCTGCAGCTCCACTTCTCTGTGGAGAGAGAAGTCTGTCTGACAGCAACACCCACTAAGATGCATATTTCCTAGACAGTTGACCCTCTTTCAGTAGTCTCTTGCTGTCACAGAGTCAACTCTACATAGCAAAATGAAATTCCTATACCTGCATGCTTTTCACTACTGCCCTTTCAAATCTGGCCACCAAAGCCGTGAGAAAGACCTCTGGACCAGCTAATCCAAACTCTTCAGTATCTATTTACATTGCTTATGCATTGATGGACAGAAGACCTCTGGGAGCTTCAACGTTGTGGAGTTCATTGTAGGCAGCAGATCATATAAGCTGCAGGTGCTGGAAGAAAACATTACTCCCTCCACTGAACTTCACGAGAGGTCAAGGTGTTTCCAGTGTGAGCTAGATCCTACCATGGGCTGGGAGGCCGTTTTGGTGGGAGATAGTTGGATTCACAAAAATACTTTTGTATTTCATAGTTACCTTATCAACTTATTTATGCACAACTGCTACTGTGCACTGTCTTAGTCTAGTTTAATAGAAAAGCATGGAAGTCTCTATGAGAACAAGCATATAAATGCTGTGCAAATAAAAAAACCTAGTGACTAGTATCTAATCTGTGAAAAATTGAGAATGATTGCACTTTTACATTATTCTCCGCTTAAGCAGTTTAAATGAAAAGGAAAGCAATTTTTTATTTAGGTGTATGAATGAGTATTTTCTAGCCCTGTTGTTCAGAAGTCTTCAAGTATGTTGGGGAGCTCAATCAGAATGAGTCAGAAAATAGGAGGCAGAAGAGTCACACTTTAAATGTAAGATTTCAGATTGCAGTGAAACACCTATGAGCATAGGTTAAATATGAACCTTTGGGATTCCAGCAATACTACACATAACAGATAAAATAAGATAACTGTTGCCTTGAGCACATTACAGGGCAATCTTTATGTTTTGACAAACAAATGCTTGAATGTATGAAGCAATCCCACGGGTATAATATGCCACCCTGCAGGCTATGTTGTATTTGTCTTCAGTGATTTATCTCAAGCCTCTCATTAGGCTACCGGCTGTTAACCTGAAATACTTTTGAAAATTAACTCGGGCTTTCTTTTGTCATAAATGGGAGCAGCGTGTGACCATTATTGTTTTCTTAATTTATTTATGCAATATACAAGACAAAAATACATAGCAGCAATGGAGAGAGAAGCTGAGGGAATTAGTAGAAAAAATGATTTAGCCTGTTGAAGCACGATCCACTGAAAGAAGGTTTCAGTGCAGCAGATGGTCACCCACTGGGAATATTGATCCAATCTATGTAAACGTGTATTTTATAACCATTCTGATTTTACAGACAAGATTATCCTTTATAAAAATCTTCCCTGTTGTAAGTACTCCTGGGCTGAGGAGTATCTTAAAGAGCTCTAATGTAATGTAATTCTTTCCTTTCAGGGAATATGGAGCCATTGATGATGTAGATATTGATCTGCATATTGATGTTAGCTTTCTTGATGTAAGTAATCTAATCACAGAATTACATAACGAACATTAATACCCATTTAATTCTGCTACACATCAGATTCTCTGGACAACCACTGAGACTTTCCTTTTTTGGAGACTTGATCTTCACAAGTGACTGTCACATTATTGATTGCTACTCAGTGGAAGGGTTGCCTTTTTCTTTTATGATGACATTGTTAAAATGCTGTGTAGGCTTTTATTTACTGCTTGTGTATTTCCTTTCAAACATACTTTGTGAATAGTAAATGTTTTAACTGATATAAATGAAATACGTTTCTTTTTTTGCTATCCTAGACATTAGTTAGGTGAAAGCACTTCATAGAGTCCTGGAGGGAAGAAGACCTTGGCTGGAACTCTCCTGTGTGCTTCTCAACATCTGCAGCTGATTAGGGAGAAGCTTGAGTGGCAAAGGAGACACAGGACAGTGGTGCTGTTGACCAGCAGCATGGCTTCTGTAACAGTTATGCTGTCATTAACTCCACACTTCCTCACCTCATCTGTGCAGTACCTTCATGTCCTCTAGACAGAGAATAAAAATTAGTGCTTTTAGGGGCATCATTAGCTTCTGCACAGATATGTCATATTCTCAGGTCAGCACAGCACATGAGAGTTGTTCTTGGGCGTTTCTAAAATTTAAGAAAACCTGATTGTGCCTTGAATTATTTTAATCAGTCCTATGGAGCACAAGTTTCCTTTGCCCTGTGTTATGGGATGAGTTTCCTTTCTATCTTTATTTGCTCCTTTGCTTCTCAGCTTTCATAGAATCATAGAATCATAGAATCGTCTGGTTGGAAGAGACCTTCAAGATCATTGAGTCCAACCATTCACCGTGCACTGTCAGGGTCCTTGATAGATGGGAATGTGTCTGCCTGCACTGTAGATGTGGTGTTGTGTATAGACCTATGCTCAGTGTAAATGAGCATACTCAACAACTGGAAGCAGTCTAACACTACTCTTAGGGGCATCAGCAGGCAAGAGTTTGTCCTAAGTCTCAAGTTTAAAGTTTAAGTAGGTATTCCACAACTGAGTAAATAGATGGATGGTGTTTGTAACAACCCTAAGGTAGACTGGCAAAATGCAGCAGTTCCTCATGATGGCTAATGGTATCCATTGTTTTCTTTTTATCTTGAACTAGGAAGAGATTGCTGTGGCTTGGGATGTAATTCGCACAGAGCCTATAATAGTGCGATTGCACTGTTCACTTACACAGTACTTAAATGGTCCAGGTTAGTCACCTGTGTATTCTTCATGTGTCTTGTATGGTGTCTCGTCTGAGCCATGTGCTAGGTGATAGATACTCATTCACTGCCAAATTTTTGACCCTGCATGTGATTAAATCTACTGCTGAGAGCAGTCTCACTGGTTTGAAATTGTGCTTATATATGTTTGCGTGGCTAGGCCCTCAATAATGACAGGGGCATCTAGTTTAAATTTTCATAGGTTGGGGTTTGGAACTTGTTTTCCTGATAGCCTTTGAAATGCAACTGATTCCGCCAGGAACCAGGGTTAAGGAATAAAGATCTACAGTTTCTAATATTTGATTTCCTGATTTTGAAAATTAGGGTTCATCTGCACAGATGAGAGATCACTGGTGAGGTATACATACACATTAATATGCCCTCTTTCATGCACCTTTGAAGATTCAGGTTATGATAATTATCCTTTCAGCTTCGGATTTCTATATGACTGTGAACTCTGGAAATCTTGAGTTGTTAAGCAAGTAAAGCCTTCCTCATGAAAGTGAAAATGGTCAAACTCCTGAAAAATCAACTGGTTTTTAAGATTTGGAAACGTTCATATGCAAGAGTCAACTTCAGATATATTTTTACAGTGAGAAGTCAGAACGAAGTTGCAGTGTAGATCATAGCTTGCCTGGCTTTGGAGGCTTCCAGTGCAAGCTGTCAGTTCAGGCTTATATCTGTGGGAGAATTCTGCCTCTGGAAAATAGAGAGATATTTCCAGTCATAATATGTTTAGCAAAATCTTTCCCAGTGAGCTATTTTTATAGGATAAGTTGCGTGCCGATGCTGACTATAAGCTATATTCTGTTTAATCAAGTAAGCATTTCATTACATCAGTCTTTTTTTTTTTTTTTTTTATTGCTTGACTTCAGTCTTCAATCTTTTTTCGTAAATATGCAAATCTTAAAATATGTGTTTGGCATAGCAGGTAGCAGTATAAGTATTCAGAACATTTCTATCAAAATGTAGTTTAAAAAAGTGCAGCAAATAAGACAAGGTGAAGTGTGAAGAGCAGCATGCAGTAAGAAATGATCTAATTAAAAGAGAAGTAACAAGAAGATATCTTCGGCACCACTGATAGGGTTAAAATAGAAAGCTTAGTTCCCAGTCCTGCAGCTGACTGATTGCGGGAGTCCCTGAGTACTGAGAAAGGCAAGATCAAGGCCAGAGGACTGGTTTTATGAGCTCAGCTGCTGTTGCAGCCAGAAAAGGACAGTGAGATCCACCATCTTTTGTGTTAACAAGACCCTTACTCTGTGAATTCCTCTTCCCCCTTAAATATGTTGTTTTGAGAATACTGGGCCATAACTTCATGCTACGTCTTTTTCTCCTGTAGTACTTTCTGCAGTATACACTGTGAGGGGTATTTGTACCACCTTGTAGCTGTGTAATATTCTGATATTAGATAGTCATCCTTCTAGTTAATAGCTTGTCTCTGCCCACAAGGGCAGTTTCTCCCACGTGCCTTAGAAACCTGTCTTGGATGAGAGTGAATCAGCCTTTGGAGATACTTTTGTCCCCTCTGGCTGTTGAGCTTAGACAAAATTGTAGTCTATATGTCACATTTTAAGATGACTGGTCTAGGTATGATGATTCTCATTGAAAATTTTTCTCCCTTAACCATATGTCCTAAATTGACAGTCTAAAGACATTGCCATCCCTAATCAAATCATTCATCCCTTTTGAAAAAATCATCAGTATATCTTCAAAAGATGAGATTGTATTTTAATAGTAACATTAGAGAAAGGCTATCTACAGGGCTTTGAACTGAGTGAAATTGGATGGCCAGGTTAGAGATACTTTATTTTGTTTTAAAATTTAATTTATTAAAACAAAATTAAAGGATAAAATTTGATATTCTGAATAAAATTTGGCTTTCTGATTAATCAGAATAATATAAATTTTAAAATACTGATTTATTTTTTCTGAATAAATTTGAACCAAACTCAGATTTTTTGTTGTCATTCCTTTTTTATTTTACTGCAGTCATTGCTACCTTATGTAATAGGAAGTATGAACTCTATTCGTGCTTGTAATATGTGTTGGCTCTTGTCCTGCCTTGAGGACCTGAGGGTCCCTCAACAAGTGCTGGATTCCATCTGCCACTTCTATCTAGTAAATGTTATTAAAGGATTTTAGTAATGCCAGGAGCTAATTTCCAGCCTTCACCCTGCACACTTTCAATTTTCTGACAGATGAATATGGATATACCAATGTTAGGACTTGAGGAAATTTCAGGGTAATCCTTGGCCACTGGAATTCGTGTATTAGGCACTTAGATGATAATTATGGACCTTGTATTAAATCACCCTCAGAAAGAAAACCCAAATGCTAATTAATTCCGTTTATTCCACTCTGAGTCTTCTTCACAGTTGCTAGGAACTGTATTTTGTAAAGACTGCTTACTTGGGAAAAAAGTTTAAGAGATTAGGTGAGATGAATTACCAGTCCAGATACATTTATTCTGATGCTGCTCTCTAGTACTTTCATAATACAGAAAAAAAAAAGGACACAATTTTGTAATTAAAATTAATGGAAAGAGATACATTTTGGGGAATTCAATTTCTAAATTATACAAATTATATTAGCTGATATTCCAAAAAGGACCATTCAGTTCTTATTAGGCTTAGATGACATGTCCACTTTCACCATTGCTTCAATGGCATTGTCTATAATAAAGGTCCAGATAGAACAGGGTCCTTAAATATGACTTAAATGGTCATGAGTTCTTGATTATTGCTCTAAGTTCATATATCAACAATATCTCCTTTTTCCATAGTGCCAACTGTGGATGTTTTTCAGATCTCTACTAAGGAAAGATTTGGGCTGGGACATCAGCTGAAAAAGTAAGTCTAGAAAAGTGTAAAGATCTGTTTTTAGGCAAATGTTACACTCTTTTTAGTTCCTGGACCATGTCAAGTAGAATAAAATTCACAGGTTGTCAGGTTGGTTGAATCAAAGTGTTTTGAACTTGTTTTTCTTTAAGTAAAAAATAACTGGATTTGCCTTTTTAAGTTCATTTTTGACAGTTGTTGTGAAGAACCTGATTTGTGCTGCCTGCCAGGATTTTCTGTCACTTTGCTGCCATGTAGGAAGTAAGCTACAAAAGTTCAAAAGACTGTAGCTAGGAGTGTTCAATTTCGTATTTCTGCTTAGATGGTGAAGCCTCTGGAGCAGAATCTTTTTGAGCATCAGACATACCCTAAGGGGTCTATGCTTTCATGGTTTTGAGGACAAGACGGAAGAATAGTTGAAAAAATTAGCAGTTTTGTGTGTTCATGGTGCAATTCAATTTAATAATATCTTGCTGAGTCATCTTTTCACATATGCTTGTGTATGTGTAATAAAATGACAAGAATATAGGCTTTAATGTCAGACCATTATAACATTAAAAAAATAATTTTGCTCTTTGGTGTTTAAAGAAATTCAGTGTATCATTTTAGAAATCTTAGAAATGAAGCAATGTTACTAAAATCTCTATGGTACATGACTTTGAAGAAAAGAAATGAAAAGCTCCCCGGACATGAACAGTCTTAAAATGTTTCAGTACTTACACTGTCTCTAATGTATGCACTGGGTAATTACTAAATCACAGAATCGTAGAATGGTTAGGGTTGGAAGGGACCTTAAAGATCATCTAGTTCCAAACCCCCTGCCGTGGGCAGGGACACCTTCCACTAGATCAGGTTGCTGAAAGCCTCATCCAACCTGGCCTTGAACACTTCCAGGGATGAGGCATCCACAACTTCTCTGGGCAACCTGTTCCAGTGCCTCACCACCCTCAGAGTGAAGAAATTCTCCTTAGATCTAATGGAAATCTCCCCTCTTTCAGTTTAAAGCCATTGCCCCCTGTCCTATCACTACATGCCCTTGTAAAAAGTCCCTCTCCAGCTTTCTGGCTTGGTAGGAACTACTGAAGGTCACCTAGTGCAACCTCCTGCTCCAAGTAACACTAACTTCAGAGTTAGATTAGTTCACTCAGAGTCTTAGGCAGCTGTGAAATCTCCAGCCCTGGTGGGCAACCTGTTGTACTTAATTGCTCTTCTTATAGATGTCTTCTTTTTATAGCCTTTGTGTTTTTTAGTTTTCCTTGCTACAGCTTGTGACCACTACCTTTTGCTGTCCATCTCTGGGAAGTGTCTGGCTCTGTCTTCTCTGTAAATCCACTTGGGGTGGTGTAATATTTGACATCACTACCTTCATGTTTGTGCTTTAGGAGAATACGCTCCTACTTGAGCAGTGTGGATGCTGTAGCCTACCTCTGTAGTCACCGGAGAGACGAACACCTATAGTTGGATGGTATGCCTTTGAATCTGTTTGTCTACAGATCTCCATGAGAGGCATACCTGCATAAGTCTTGCAGTGGTTGTTTATGCAGACTGTATTCTCATTACGAGTTCCATGTAAATTAGTTTTATGTGGAAAAAAAAAGCATTTTTGGAGAGCTGAGACACGCAATCATCAGTCCACATACCTCACAGAAAAACTCTGCCTGTAGAGTGAGGATGTTGGATTTTGTCACCTACATGGTGAACAGAGAGACCCTAGTATTAAAGTGAGTATGTCATGGCTAGGATAAGAAAATATTTTTTCTTTCTTAATTTGCAGAATCATGCAGACTTTTGTTACACAACAGTGGAAGAACAGCAAAGAGAAGTCTAATTGTACGCACAATAAGAAGGTGTCTGACAAAAAGGTGAAATCCCCTCTGCACATCTTTTCTACATTGCGCAGGTAATAGCAAGGAGAATGAGCTGTTAACACCATATCCTGTTCAAAATCCACAGCAGACTTCACAAGGTGAAACGTTGACTTTTCTCCACAGAGAAGTGGTCTATTTATATCTTACCTCATGGGTTTCCAGTCCTTGCCTTGCATGGCATCAAAAGTGAACTAGATACTACTGCAGCTTCTAAGACTATTTGAAGGCAGAGCATGTCAGTCCCTTACTCTCTGAAACAGCCCTGGTTCATCTAGAATTGGAAATAATATTATCTGACTTATTGTATTTCTATCTTTATAGCTTGATAGCACTTGACTGTTACTTGAATAGCAAGAATACAAATATAAGTAATATATACGAGTAATATATAGCATATATATTATATATATTACATATATAAAAGAATTTTTGTGGTTGTCTAGCTGTTCTTTCCACAGCTGTGTGTATTCTTAGTTTTTTAAAACTAGAAAGATCATTAATGAAAGACTGATTTTTAGAGTTGATGAGCTCCCATCCCTCCCTACTGCTTGAGTACATGAATGTTCACCACTTCTGGAATGCAGGCACAGACTTTCAAAGAACAAAGGCATTAAAAACATAAGAAGTAGTTTGTCAATAGTTCATTTGAATTTATTATGACTTCTGCCAGTTACTCATACTCTTTGAAGTGCATGTAAAGTCAGGCTCTGATTTTACCTCTTTCAGGAATGTGACTACTTACTCTAGCATGTTTTCCTGCCTACGAAGGGTTGACAGATCATCTCTTCTGTGAATTTGAATTGAATGCTTCTTTGGACATTCCTTCTTTCTGATTAATTTTGCCATTCTGAATTCCGTGTATAAAAAAGAGAGGGAGTACAGTGATCATTCACGTTGAAGAAGGGAGGAATGTCAAAGATGACAAAAGATTGTGTTTTTAAAGGTAGGAGAGTAAAGTGGTGTTTTAAGCAGAGAGCTTACCCATTCCCTATTACATCACTGCTCAACGCAGGCTGTAGCTTGGGGTTTGGTTTTGTTCAGAAAGAGCGTTCAAAACCCCGCCCAGTCTGTCCTCTCTTCGCTTGGCTCCTGCCGCAGTGGCTGTCCAAGGATGGCTCAGCCCAAATGCAGGAACCTCCTCTCTCCCTAGAGCACCATTCCTACCTCCTGTCTGCAGGAGGGTGGTAGTGAGCCAACTGCAATAGTGAGTCAGCAGCCTTCACATGCATCTCCTACTGTCACTTGCTAACAGGGTGGGGAAACCTGCCAGACTCGCCCATTGGGGTTTTGCTTCTTTTCTATTCAATCCAAGCCCCCAAAATACTGCAAAGATTGGGGTTGCTTATAAAGCAAAGAAAAATGATTCGACGTACCTGTTACATGTTCTTGCTTTGCAAAGATGGGCAAATGTGAACCTTACAGAAACGTGGCAGTTCCTGTGAATATTGTTTCATAAAAACCTTTTGTTCTTTACTTTCTCCATTCATAATTTAGATCCCTCACATTCTAGTTTCTGGCATTATAGAGCTAGAATTTCCCTAAAACAGGAAAGAAGGGCATCAAATTGTCTTCCACAAAGCACCCAGATTATTATGAGGTTTTTAAAGATAATGTTCATTTCAACTGAATTAAATTTGATTTACTGCCTGCAAGTTTCACTACTCATTGTATCTTCCATTGAACCTGGACATAGAATTTGTTATGCTGTGTCCAGAAGACAATAACTTTAGTGGGATCATGTCATGATGGTTACATAGGATAGATTTTGATACGGAAAGTGTGTTCCAAACTTGTATGAAATATATGGTTTTCACTTCAAAGATAATTTTCTGAATAAATGGTTTGTTTACAGCATAGAGACCTTTGCAAAGAGCTGTAAGGATATAGCTCTAACTTCTGCTTAAGTAGTTAGTTGTCTTTTTGATCGATGGGCTTGTTTTGAAATAGGAGTAAGATGTCTATTTGGCATTGGAAAATAAGTCCTAAATACAACTGCTCATTTTTTTAATGTTGAGCTGTGTATATCACTAGTGAAATATGTAAAGACAGGTGACACTTGAAGTTTTTTAGATATGCGTGGTCTTGCTTGATTCGCACAGGATTTTGATTATTCTCCAGCTTTGTCTTCTCCTTCTTTATTTTTAAGGTCGCCAAGTTATCCTCCACCTGGCTGTGGTAAAAACAAATCAAAACTGAAGTCTGAACAGGATGGCATCTCCAAAACTCACAAGCTACTGAGAAGGACTTGCTCTAGCACAGTGAAGGCGGAGGATATGTGTGCCACAAAATCTCACAGAACCTTTGGCCGCTCGTTGTCGAGTGACCCTAGGGCTGAACAGACAATGGCTATTAAATCGCACAAACTCTTGAACCGTTCTTGCTCTGCAGCTGTTAAGCAGGAGGAGTGCATCACTTTAAAGCCCCATAAGCTGTTAAGTAGGTCGTGTTCTGGGGATCCTCGATGTGAGCACAACAGCACCTTGAAGCCCCACAAACTTTTAAGCAGGTCCTACTCCAGTAATCTTAGAATGGAAGAACTGGATGGATTGAAGAATCACAAGTTACTCAGCAAGACTTACTCCAATGCCCCTAAATCATCCAAAATGGAGCCTTTCAAGGAGTCCACCATAGCAGAGAGCAGGAGGCTCTCTCTTACCTCAGGGCTTATTGGTATCTTAACACCATCTTCATCATCACCTTCACAAGCTGCTGTGCGTAATGATATTTTTATTCTGGTCATTTTCCTCCTATTATTTTCCAAATGTGATGTTATGCTTGTTATGCAAAGGCATTAATACTTAAGATGTGTTAATTAATATATTGGATATATCTAATGTCTTGGAAGACAAGAGCAATGGAGCCAGCTTTTTAGGGAGGATTCAAACAACTCTGCATGCACGTGTATTTTATAAACCCAGAATTCACTTAGGTCAAGGCAGAGATTTTACATGTCGCATTGAATACAGCTCAATGTACTTGCTTGCCGTGGGAAAAGTTCAATCATCCACTTCCTTCCCTGCCTACTTTCTTGCTGCAGGAAGAAGGGAGAGCGTGCACTTCCGTGTTGCAAAATTGGCTTGATCACACTGGTCTTTTCTCATTTCACTGTTTACTTTGTGGGGCAAGCAACCGTCCATTGGCTTGTTCGGGTGCCTTCATGGTGGAAGGAATGCAGTCATGATTCAGCTCACCTCTTGTGCATTTGTGCTGTGTGAAAGGTTTAACCTTCAAATGCGCTGGTGGCCGCTGGAGGTCAGGGAAGGAATTAGGTCCACACTGGCCCCCTTTCTTTC